AGGTAAAACTAAGTCTCATTAATGTACCCTGAGAGGCAGTGAGGGTGAGGTGGTGAGGGGCCAAGAGCAGCCACAGCTTCACTCCCAGACCTCTCCTGGTGCCCCATTCTGCACCTCTCTCCTCCTTGCATCCCCCAGGACTGGGGTTTTACCCTGTCAGGCTCCTGGCTACATTTAGCTCAGGTGCAGCTCTTGCGTGCTAAAGCTTAAAAGTGAACTGGGAAGATAACCCCAACCCACACGTGTTATCCCAGATTTCCTCCTGCTTGACTGGCACTAGAAATGCAGCAATTGCCTCCCTATGCAAAGCCACACTTCCCTAGGTATGTTAGACAGAAACACCTCCTTTGCTTGCTGGCTGCCAGGGCAGGTAGAGGAGATGGGAGTGGGTTTGCCCTCACCGCTCCATTGTTTTGCCTTGTCCCTGCAGCCCACACTGAGCCAGCAGTGTTTTGAAGGGAGGTGATTCATTTAGGTCTGAATGAGCCTCAAAGCTACTAATCTGGGGGGGGATATATTTGCTCTTTCCCTAAGGTAGAGCTGGCAAACAGGTCCTCTCGGGGTGTGCTACAAGCTGTGCGTTGGGACTGTCACCAAGTGGCTCTCCAGGTCTTGGCCAGGTCTCTGTGCCTGTTTGTGTGTGCCCCCCAGCAAAGCACTGCTCCATCCTCACGCCAGCATCCAGAGAGGAGCTGCAGCACCAAGGGGAGTCTTGCCATTTTCTACCAGAGTTTTCCAGGCACTAAGAAAGCCCTGGGAAAAGCCAATGGGATGAAGGGGAGGCCGGGTTATGGCTGAAGATGCTGGCAAGAGGCAGGGTGGGTATGGAGCTTTGTCCTGCAAGGCTGCTTGCTATCGTGATTTGAGCAGGTTGAGCCCGAGGTTTTGATAGCTGGTTAGCCACATCCATTCCACAGAGGGGTTTTGTTCTTCCTCTATGCTCATTTCATAGGCAGGAAGGCCGCAGTGGTTTCCACTGTGCTGTATCTCCACAGAACCCATCAGCTTGTCTTGAAGTCGTTAGGAAAGACTCTTGGCTGATTCAGGCCAACTTTTACTATTATTACTAACAGTATTACTACTAATAGTCATGAAGCAATTCATGAGTTGCCTCCATTATAAAGCCCAATTAAATTGTTATGAGAGTCTGCTTGTTGTACGTGCTCTCTGTAAATCCTGGGTTCTGGAGGCTTCCTGGTGCTCATTCCAGTCAGCTCTCCTCCCTCCATAATTAATGCTGTTCCCTGCATTAACTGCTCCCAAAGACAGCGCTGCAGGGTGCAGCTGGTTCTGTTACCCCTCCCAGCACCAGTATTTTACTGGGAAAAGGGTGTAGCACCAACCAATGCAGCGCTGGGGTGCAGGAGCCCCATGGTAATGAATTCTTCGGGTGTTTTTCTATGTGGCTGCCTCAGATCCTACTCTTTGCACAGGGTTTGTGTCTGGACCCCAGGGCAAAGCTAAAGGGGGGCTTGGGCAGGGAGATTCCCCCCATGTGCAAGGGCTGACCCAGCTCCTTTGGCCCATGTTCAAGGGCTTCACTTGGAGGTTTCTGCCTCACAACATCCCTCCAGCTCCTGTGCAAGCTCCCAGGCCATGAGGCTGCTCTGAATGCACAAGTGACCCGCAAACAGCCTCATGTCGACTTAGGGAGAAATCTGTGGCCATGGGTTGCTGCCTCTCAGCACCCAGGTCTATGCAGCAGCATGCATCTGATAGGGGTGCAGGGCTGCCTCTTGCCAGCAGCTCCACCCGGCAGGTCAGGCTTTTCCCAGGAGAGGTTTGGGATGTTTCTTTCCAAGGGAAACCGCTGATTCACCGGGGCGAGCCTTTCACTGGAGCGTGAGCCAGTGAATCGGGTTAACAGGCTCCAGGCGGGTTGTGGTGCAGTGATTCGTGCAAGGCAGGATGCTGGTCTCCTGCCAGCCCATGTTCCTGTTTATAGTCTTCAAGCTCTTTGGGTTTTGGTTTCTTCCCACTCCTTTGGGTTCCTGTGGGGTGGCAGGAACCATAGTGTTGGGCATTGTGGCATGTGGCAGTGGCCTCCTGGGGCATGACATCAAGGTTTGATGTGCTGGGGATATTCGGGCACTTGATCAAACGTGTTCCTTCACACTGCACTTCACAAGGGGATGTGTGCACTGCCTCGAGTGGTGCCAGCCTGGGTTTCATCCTGCCCTGGGTGCAGGAAGGTGATGGAGGGCTGGGACTGACTACGCATAGAGGCTCCCCTGTGCATCGGGAAGATGCTCCTGCACCTTGAAGGTGAAGAGTGACCCTCACAATGTCACAGAGGGAGGGGACGAATGGCCAAGGTGTCCCGGGATGGAGCAGGGCTGATGGAGTTGCATCAGACTAAGCATAAATCAAAGGGAGAAACAACAGATACAGAGAAGTGCAGCACAGAGTGGGGAGGTTCAGCCCCAGCACCAACAGCTACAGGGGTGGCAGGGGACAGGGGGACACTGGGATGTCTCAGTGCTTGCCAGGGCTGCAGCTACAGGAACACCATTGTCCTGAAAGGCACCGTGTGTTGCCAAAACAACTTCAGAGCAAGAAGCCAGTTATCAGTGTTTGTTTTCACTTGTGTCCCTATAAAAGGGTTGAAAGTGCATCAGTTTCCTGAGAGGATGGGGATGTTTGTGCCGGTGACTCTGCAAACAAAACCCAGATACTGGCAGAGAGGGAGGGAGGGGTTTGTGCTTGCGCTGTTGGTGTCCCTTAGGCTGGGGATTTGAAGGAACCCTGGCAGGAGCAGAAGGGAGGATGGGCTCCCCAGGGATGCGGTGTGGGTACCAGAGATATGGGTTGGCAGCCTGGGAGCTGCTCCAGAGGTGATGGCAATGTCCCATCTCTGACACCTGCACAGCTCCTTCTGCCAGGGGACGAGCAAGCTTTGCTCCCTATGGGAGAGCCCATGCAGGGCTGGAGAGGCAGAGGGGCTCCATGACCTCAAATCCAGAGGGAAGCACTGTGTTAATGCAGCATGAAAACAGCCCAGTGCCCCGAGAGGCTGCGTGGCTGTGGCAATGGCTGCGTGCAGCCGCTGCGGGAGATGCTGTCTTTACTAAACCAATCTGGACCCAATCCAGCGCTGCCAGAGTCCTCCCAGAGAGGTTTTCCTCCAGGGCTGTGCAAGCCAAGGCTGCCTCTGCCTGCACAGCATGCCTGCCAGCTCGGGCCCTGCCTGCTCCCTGTGCTGATGCCTCTTTACCTGCTCCTTGCAGACAATCCTGGTCGGAGACAGCGGCGTGGGGAAGACATCTCTGCTGGTTCAGTTTGACCAGGGCAAGTTCATCCCTGGCTCCTTCTCTGCTACCGTGGGCATTGGGTTTACGGTAAGAGCCCAGCCCCTGTTCCCTGTGCTGTGCGACCTCACTCACCCTTGGGAAAGCTGTTTTATTTGGGCAATCAATCCATGGTGCTTTAAGTAGTGCTAAGCACAAAGATTTGGGGTAATTTGCTTTGGTGCTGCTGGGTGAGGGGCTGGTTTGGCTGTCTGCTTGCTGGGGCTGCTGGCAAGGATGGAGGACTGATGAGGCTTCACATCCCAATACCCTCTGTGAAGCTGTGCCTGGGTGTGTGTCCTGTCGGTGCAGCCCAGGCAGGGAATAGTGAGGCCGATGGCAGCAGTGCCTGGGAAAAGCAGTTGGCCACTATCCAGTGCTATTTGCAAGCTGCCACAGGACCAGAGTGGCTCTGATGCGTGTGTCCCCTCTCTTGGGAGAGCCTGCAACAGAGACCACTTGGGACCTCCCTGCACAGCAAGACCAACATCCCTCCAGCATCCGTGATGAGGCTTTTGCCCGCAGGATGCCTGTTCCCCATGAAGAGGCTGTTACCTACATGGGTTTTGCCTCTGGTCGAGGCCAAGGAAGCAGAGAAACGTGGTACCAGCACGAGGGCTGCAGCACAGGGTGCCCATGCAGTGCCGAGCCCTGGGCAGGCAGAGGAGGCTCAGGCACGTTGCTGACCTCTGCCAGCTCCCAGCTGTAAATGGGATGTTTCTCCATGCCACCTGTGGAGGTGATGCTCAGCCAGGCGCTCTTCCTGCCTACACAGCTCTATGAGCACCCGTGTGGCTTGCCCTATCCTTCCAGCCTCCCTCCCCAGAGAGCTGCAGGGGAGCTCAGCCACTTCCAGGAACTCCAAGTGCCTCCAGCCTTCAGCTCTGGGCACTTTGTGGCCAAAGAGTGTGTATAAACTATAAATCTGGTCTGGTTCGAGCTACAGGACTGGAAATACAGGTTCCCTTTCCCGAGGGGCAGAGGAAGGCTTGGCTGGAGCAGGAGCTGGTGGCAGGGGTGGGTGCTGCCACAGAGGGCATCTCTGCCATGGCCCTCACCCTGAGAGTGGTGAGGGGCTCTGCATGGGAGCCACACACACCTGAACCCCATCAGTGTGAGGAGGGTTGTGGGGTTGCATTGAGATCAGGCCTGGCACGGGGGAGACGGGCTGTGTATCCCATGGAGAATAAATCAGAGGGGGCTGAAGGCTCCTGTCTGTGGAGCGGCGCCTGTCAGCCTGGAGACACACAGGGCATGGATCTGGATGGGGTTTTGTGGAGTGAGGTTTTGGGTAACACATCCCTGGGACTTCTCCCTCATTCCCACCCTTGGGCTTTTCCCACATGAAGAGCACAGAAGCCGTGCCCCAGTGCCTGGTGCAGGATGCTGGGGGCTCTGAGCAGCTGGGGACACAGGAGCCACAGCAGCCATCCCGGCACAGGCTTCCCGCAGCGTTTGGCTTCCGGCTGATGGGTGCTGCTTCACTTCCCTCCTGGTTTCACCGCGCCTTGATGCTAACCCAGGGCAAAACCTCACCCTGGGGTGAGCTGGAGGGATCCCCACTGATCTGGTGTGGCAGGGGTGATTTGGGGTCTCCATCCCCAAATGGGGGACAAGAGGCTGTTTACTTGTAGAGTGAGCAGCTCCTCCTCTCCCCATCTGTGTACCCAGAGGGATGCACTAGGGCTGTGCCTGCTACCTGGTGCCACCGAGCCCCCGGCAGACCCAAGCATCCTGGGGTCCCTGGTGCAGGGAGCAAGTTTCCAGCCTTGAGCCTTCTCTTCCTCATCCCGTGGCCGGGCTGGGCAGGGAGGCGGCCGGAGCGCAGCCTCGGGGGTGGCATTGCTTGGGGAGGAGGAGGAAGAGGAGGAGGAAGGCGGGTGGGGTCCGCGGCTCCCTCTGGCCCCGCCGCGTAGGGACTCGGCGGCTCCCCTCGGGATCACCATGAGCGGCCCCAACGGGGAGGCAGAGACTGGGACCCCCCCGGCAGACAGTGGGGACCTTCCGGAGGGGAGCGGGACCCCCCCGGCGCTGCCCCGGGACTACGAGCTGTCCGGCAAGGTGGGAGGCGGCGCGGGGTGCGAGGGGGGCAGGAACGGAACCCCCAAGCCCTATCGGGGTGGAGGTTGAGGGGTCTGGGGGGGGGGGGGGGTGGGAGGCCGGGAGGGGGTCCCGGGGGCCGCCCGCTTCCTCCGCTGCCGCAATCGCGCCCAGGAAGCGGCTGCGGACCGGGGAAGGGGAACGGGAGAGAGAAGGGGAAGAAAGCGGCGGTCCCAGCCGAGCCACCCCCAGCGCTGCCCGCCCCTGCCCTTGGGGGAGCCCAGGTGTGGGGATGAGGGCCCCGACTGCCCCCCGGGAGGTGGAGACAGGGGGTGCCTGCCCCGGGGAGGTCTCTGAAAGCCGTTCCTGTCCTTCTCCGGGCAAGGGGGCTCCGGCCAGCTAGGCAGTGGTGCCCCCATCATACAGGGCAGGGATGCAGGACCCCATCCGGCCCATTGCAGCATCCCAAAGGCAGTGGGGAGAGAGGCAAGTGTGCATGCCCCGGTGCCGAGCCAGCCCCTAAACCACTTTTATTCCTTTGCCTTTTCCTCCCCGCTCTGCCTCCTCTCAGTGGAGGGCAATTTTTGTGTCAGAGGGAGGAATTCAATCGCCAGCTTGACCTGGGTGAGGTGGAGGCAGAACCGAGCGGTGTTCCCAGCCACCTGGGCTGGGTCAGGGCGTCCCGGGGCAGGATTTGATCAGCAAAGTGAATTGGCAGGAGGCAGGGCTTGTCCAGCCCCCAGCTCTGGCTGTGCTGGTCCAGGAGGGTGGCCATGGCTCAGGGTGTTCAATGGGGGCAGTGGAGCTGTGTGAGTTCTCTTAGCAGGCTCCAGTGTCTCCACAGGGTGGGCTTGTGGGGATGGACCTTCTTGATGGAGTCCTGCACACTCCTGTTTTTAGGCAGGGAGCAGATAAAGTCACCATCAGGTTAATTATTGCTGGGCAGGAAAGGGCTGCTGCCTGCAAGCAGGAAGGAGGGCACGGCATCGGGGTGTTGGATAAGGATGTGGTTATGGAGACCAGCACCGGTCCGGGGTGCTGCCCGCCCAGCTCCGTCAGTGCTGGGGAGCCCAGGCTGAGCCTGTTTGCTTAGCAGGAGGGGAAAAGGCTCTGTGTTTGCTTTGGTGTCTGCACCAACAGGGTGAGAGTCCCAGACACGGCGGGGCTTGCCCAAGCCATGCATCACAGAATCATACAATAGGGTTGGAAAGGACCTTGAAATCATCCAGTTCCAACCCCTTGGCTGCACCCCCGGGGGTCCCATCCCATCCCTAGCTCTCATGGGGCTCCCCAAACCCATCAGAACCAGCCCTGGGGAAAGGAACAGAGGGACAGAAGGGACCAGGAAGGGGGGGTCAGCATCACCCCAGGGATGCTGCTGCATCCCTGCCCCGCTGACACCTCTCCCTGCACACATCCTGCAGGTGATGTTGCTTGGAGACTCGGGCGTGGGGAAAACCTGCTTCCTGCTCCAGTTCAAAGACGGGGCCTTTCTCTCCGGGATGTTCATAGCCACCGTGGGCATAGATTTCCGGGTGAGACCCGCATGGCTGCCGGCCCCTCACCTCCCCTCACTTACACCTCAGCCAGGATGGAGCCCAGGAGAGGTTTCCAGCCTCTGCACCCCAACCAGCAGCAGGCACCACCTGAAACCCTTCCACCTCTCCCTGGGAGAGCGGTAACAGACACAGGAGCCCGCTGGAAGCATCACATCTTGCCTTTACATCAGCAAACAGCCTTGGTTTAGCCTGTCTGGTGGGTGCATGGGCTGCAGTGTGCAGTGGGTTACCAGCACACTCCACCGGCCAGCTCCTGGTGGGGACAAACACTGCTTTGGGGTAGTTTTATGCTTTAAAAGGGCTGAAATTGGCTGCTGAGGAGTCGTTATGGCCACAGGATCCCTTTCAAACCCTCCCCGTTGCTCTCTGCTCACCAGTCCCAGCTGCAGGGGATGCAGGGGCTGGCTGTGTTTGCAGCACGGGCTTTGAGCAGGATGGAAGTGAAGGGGGGGCCCCGGGCAGGGCTCTGCTGTGGCTGCAGGCACGTGTCGAGTGTGGCTGGCGCTTCCTCTGCCTCCGCAGCTGCAGTTGCTCCGGTTCTCTGCTGCCTTTGGGCTGCTCTTGGCTTGCAGGGGGCGAGGAGCAGGGGCTGGGGTTTGCTTTGGGGGGGTCTTGTGGCCTCTTCTACCACCAAAGCCATGAGAGAAGGAAAATGCCACATCCGGCTGCTGGGGTGTTACCAGCTCATAGGTGCCTTGTGCGAGCATTCCCTGCAGCATCTCCCAGCTTCCTGCTGTAGGTCATTTCCAGTCTCCCAGGGCACGGTTTTGTTCCCTTCAGCCCATTCGCTCAGGTTTTTTTCATCTCCACATAGGTTGAATTTCCATTTCAAACAATTCCAGGCAACCAAATTATTTATAGGGCTCCTCTCTTTCCAGACTCATCCCTCCAACCCCGATTCTTCAAGAGCCTTACAATAGCCCTGCAGTAACTCCTGCTTTGCTTTCTTCTGGCCTCTAGAGAGAAGTCCCTGCACTTCCAAGCTGAACACAGTGGTTGCTTACGCTCTGATAACTGCCTCCCCTGCTCACTTGCAAACGTGTCTTCCTTTCTCAGACCCAGCCCAGCCTCAAACCACCCTAACAGGGAGATTTCCTCCTGCTGTGCTGGATAAAGCCATGTTCTACCTGCACCCCCCTGCATCATTAACCAGCAATTTAGGAGCCACAGGGGGTGCTGGCTATAGGAGATGAGTGAGGCACCGGATCCAAAGCAGGCTGGGATCTTGTCCTGTCCAAAAGAGCCTGAATATGCTCTTTTCCACCCTGGCACAAGGGGATGCTGCTCTGGGATGTGCCCGTAGCTGCAGCCCCACAGCAGGACTGTGGTTTGTAGCAATGAGGCCTCAATGTCCAGCTCCATGGGCAGCCTGGCTTCATCCCACCAGCCAGGGGCAAGCAGCAGAGGGGATGGGGCGTAGATGCTCCATACTGGGGCTGGATGGCATCCGCACCAACACTGATGGATGTGTTCTCCTTCTCTTCTGCAGAACAAAGTGGTGTCTGTGGATGGTGTGAAGGTGAAGTTGCAGGTGAGCTTTGGGAGGGGATGAGCAATTCCCATAAGGATTGCTGGAACACCCTCCCCAGGCTGAGCGTGGTGTCCCCTTGGAGCCATTGGGGCATCCCCATCTCAGGGGGTTCCTCTCCCTGCTCTCACCGGGGTGGCTTCTCAGCAGATCTGGGACACAGCAGGACAGGAGCGCTTCCGCAGCGTCACCCATGCCTACTACAGGGATGCCCAAGGTGGGTTTGGTGTCCAGCAGGGATGGGGGGAACCGGCCGGAGCGCATCCCTGCAGCAGGGCAATGCCTCTGCCTCTTCCCTTCCAGCCCTGCTCCTGCTCTACGATATCACCAGCAAGATGTCCTTTGACAACATCCGTGTGAGTCCCTTCCACGGGTTGGGAGCATGTTTTTCCCCAGGGATGGGGTTCATGGGTGCCCTGTTTGGGTTGCTGGGTGTTTGGGGCAGTTTGAAGCCTGGCTGACATGTAAGAGCTCTCTGTTGTGGCCAGACCCAGCCAGCCAGGAGCTATTTCCTGGGATGCTTGGCTGGATGCTGCATGGCTGGGTGCTAGAGGGAGAAAACGTGGTTTGGGATGAGATGAACTATGCATAGACTTGGGCTGCAGCCAAGAGATGGGGTGCTCTGGGGACTGTTCAGCTGTGATGCTGGAATGGTTCCCATGTTAAAGTCACTTTCCCCTATCTCACAGCAGTGGGTGAGGGCTGGGAGGGGAGGGATGGGTGCACCGCTCACCCCAACACAGCCCCGCTGCCCCACAGGCCTGGCTGACGGAGATCCATGAGTACGCCCAGAAGGACGTGGTCATCATGCTGCTGGGCAACAAGGTGCGTGCAGGATGTCCTTTCACCCCGTGGTTTGCTGTGCTCTGCTGTGCCAGCCCAGCCCTTGCCGTCCCCATGCCTATGGAGGGATGGGGCTCGGTGGGTGCATCCTGCCTGCACCCTCTGCTGGGCTCTGGTGCTTTCTGGGCTCATCCAGGCCCGGAGGTGACCCCAGAGATCTGGGGGGTCAGGAAGGTGTGAGGGGACCAGTGCTCCCGGCAGCCAGTGGAGGGCAGCACCAGGCTGAGGCTCCCAGTATGGGATGCTGCTCGGTACCGGGTGCTGCTGGATATGGGATGCTGCAGGGTATGGGATGCCCACCTAGGTCCTGGATGCACCCCTAGATCTCAGGTAGCTCCAAGCTCCAGAAGGCCAACTGGGTCCCATGTTCTCTGGAAGTTCCAGTTTTCCAGTGCCTGAGTGGGTTATGAATTTTCCCCTGGGACTGGATTCCCTTTAGTTCCTGGATGATGTTGGGTACCTGATGCCCAGCAGGGTTCCAGAAGGCCCCTTCTGGGTCCAAGTACCAGATGCTGCCCTAGGTCCCCAGTGTCCCCAGGTCACAGATTCCCCCCTGCATCCTCAATGCCCTCAGGTCTCAGATGCTCAACAGGTCCTGGATTCCTGCAGTTCCTGGCAGCCCCCTCTACACCCCACAGTGCTTGCCAGACCCCTCAGGGTGCCAGCCAGCCCTGGTATGTGGTGACACCTCCCTTCCCTTGGCAGGCGGATGTGAGCAGCGAGAGGGCTGTGAGGACAGAGGATGGAGCATCGCTGGCCAGGGTGAGCCATGCTGGGGTCTAACCCTGCTGCAGCCCCCCCCGATGACTGCACGTTGTGCATGGTCCCCACACAGCCGTGCCATCCCCTCTGATGGGTGCCCAGCCCTGGCTCTAGCACAGGCAGCGTGGCACATAAAACCTGGGACAAGGCAGGGAGGGGATGGCACCTTGTCCCCAAGCATCAGCCAGGCAACAAGGGCAAGGGGAGGGTTTGGGTCTCTGGGTGATGGGGCCGTGCTGCCCTTGCAGGAGTACGGGGTGCCTTTCATGGAGACAAGTGCCAAGACGGGCATGAACGTGGAGCTGGCATTCCTGGCCATTGCCAAGTGAGTACCAGGGGGTCACAGGGCTGGGCATGGGAGGTGTCTTCTACAGCACCACCGGCTCAGGTGAGGTTAATGCAGTCCCATGGCCGCAGGGAGCTGAAGCAGCGCGCGGTGCAGCCGCAGGATGAGCCCCGCTTCCAGATCCACGACTACATCGAGTCGCAGCAGAGGAAATCCAGCTGCTGTGCCTTCGTCTGAGAGCAAAGGGGGAGCCGGGGGGAGGCAGGCGGGGGGCACAGCAGGGGCCCGATCCTGCCCTCGAGAGCCTGCGGGAACCAGCCTCTGACCAGCCAAGTGTGGACAGGACAATACAGCGGAGTGAGGAGAAACATCATCCCAGCACCAGGATCCAGGGGCCAGATCCTGCCGCCCTGTGGGACAATGCTTGGGAATAACCATGGTGCGATGGCTGCCAGCCCAGCAGGGAGCCACGGTGATGCCTCCATCAGCCGAGCAGGATGCAGGATGTGGCTCCACACCTCACTAAAGGCCCCTTGGAGTGCCTGGAGGGGTTGGATGTGTGCCATGGACAAGCCCTCATGCAGCCTGTGGCCCTCTCCTCCTCTGAAGCAATCCCTGCTCTTGGCACTGCTTTCATCCAGCTGGAAGGGCCTGATCCAACTCCTGCATCCCAGTGCTCAGCCGGGGCTCCTCACTGTTGTGGTTGCTGCTTTATCCTCCTGCCACCATGAGCGCAGAGATGTCCCTGCTGTGTCCCGGTCTTGTTGGAGGGAGGGACTGGGATGAGGAAGCATCCAGCCAAGCCTGTTCCTTGCCCATGCAGCTGACATGAGAAATGAGACTCCCTTGGGAGCATCCCAATGCACTTGGGGCATTTCTAGTGCACACAGCAATATGGAGAAACCTTTATTTCCCCTCTCGTGCAGTCACAGGAATTAAGAGATTTTATTTTTATTAACGAGAGAAGCCTTTTTCTTTCCAATCCCTCCAGACAAAACCACCTCCGGCCTCGCGGTGGAGCTGGTGGGGTGGAGGTGCCCGGTTGGCCTGGGGCTGCTGCTCTTGCCGGCTCCCATCGCTGCACATGGAATACAGCCCTTTTCTTCCTGCTGCTGGCAAACAGCAGCTGAAACCCACTCTCTGAAGAGAAGATGCCTGAGATGCTTCAGCCAGCAAACGCTGCTACACGGGGCACCGGGGTGCAAGGCTCTGTCCCTGCATCACTGCACATCCCCAGTGCCGCATCAACCCCTCCATCACGCTGCTGGTCCCCCCGGCACTACCCAGGGCAGTGGGTATTTGGTATTTAGCTGAAGACCTGAAGCGAAGGGCAGCAGCAGAGGGCACGGCACAGCCGCATGTAGGAGTCGGGCAGTGCCCAGCACATCCATCCCCACCAGTGGTTCCCCTTTCTCTGCTCCCCAGCTGCCCATCTCTTTACTTGCCCCGGTGCCTCCTTTGCTGCTTCCCTGCTCCCGGGTTTCTCTTTGCAAGTTTTCACATTAAAGCCGGGTATTTCCAAGCTTTGCCTCCTCCTGGGTGTTTTATGGCGTGAGAAATCCCTGCCCCGGCTCTGCACCGTGGGAGGCTGCTGCAGCCAAGCACTGCAGAGCAATGGGGCTGCGGGGCCCCCCAGAGCAGCCGTGGGGCGGGAGAAGCACCCGTGGCCCCTTCCTCCCCACTGAGGCTTTCGTTGTACGCTTCAGACAGTCCAAAGGTGAGGAGGGAAGAGCAAACATGACCTGTTAAATTAAAACCAACCTCCTCCCCTGCTGTTCTCATGGTGCGGAGTCCAGCATTCCCCAAATAACTCTGTCTTCCCACCAATGGCACGGCTGCAGCCGCTTGGCTGATGTCTGCAAAAAAATGCTGGATGGCTTCAACACAAACAGACTTTGGCTCTTTTCTGCTTTCCCCCCTCCGGCCCGAGCTCCCTTAACGTCACAGGGAGCCACAAAGGCCCTGGTAGGAGGAGGCAGCGCCGGTGCTGCCCGTGCCCTGCCATTTCATGGGTGCTCTGGAGTACCATGGACCCAAAAGCAGCTCCGGCTGTTTCCTGTGCTGCCGCTTTTCTCTCTTATCATGGTCCCATACTCAAAACAGCCCTCTTGGGGCTGAGTTTGGTTTCCTGACTTGGAGCAGCATCCCCAAAGAGCATCCCACTCTGTCTCAGCCCTGAACACCCATGGCTGTGGAGCTGTGCCACACACTCCCCCCTTGCCAAGGGGAGGGCTGTGCAACGGAACCCCTGTCCTGGAGCTGTACTGTGACACTCTTGTCCCTGTTTTCCTCTCCGCAGGCATCTGCTGCCGCTGCCGTGGGATTCCTCTCCGCTGCCTTTCTCAGGGCTGAGCGAATGCTCAGCCAAGTGGAGGAAACAAATGAGCCCACCCTCTGCTTGCAGCCCGGCCCCATGGAGCTGGAGCATGGCCACCCCCAGCACACAGGGGGTGTCTCGACCACCGGGGTCCCTGCAGCCGGGCCTTGGTGCAGAGCCATGGAGGGACACGTCCTGCACTGCTGTCACCTCCTTGCTCACCTGCCTGCAGCATGGTTAACATGATCCTGGGTGTCGTGAGGACCTTTGGCCAGCCTGAACTTCAGCCGGGCCTGAAGCCCAGCAGTGAGACTCATCAGTGGTACCCCCGTGCCACCCTCCACAGGACAACGCTGGGAGACAGGGGCCAGAGAGAGTCCAGGCTCGCTGCTGCCTTGCTCTGCCCTGGCTCACTGGAGACACCAGGATCTCACTCTTACAACCCCCCCTGCAGCCATTTCTGTTTCTCAAGCTGCCACAGAGCACACGGGTCCAGGGCAGGGGCCGAGCAATTCCCTCCCAGGGTTTCCTTCACCTCCCTTCCTCAGGACTCCCAGCTCCAGGGTGCCGAGTGGGACCCGGTGCTGCTCGAGAGACCGGGGGTTGCTCTCTTGTTTCTGCCTCACAGTGGGTTACCGGTGAGCGCGGCCTCCGGCGCTGCTTTCCCACGCAGTTTCACTTTGGGGTTTTTACTTCACTTTCGAAGCACCGAGCACCTTCCAGCCCTCCCCGTCGAACCGGCCTTGGAGGACCGGGCAAGGGGACAGGAGGGACGGGCTCCGAGAGGCTGCTGCGTGCCACCTTTCCTGGCTGTGCCCCGTCGGGGCTGTTTGCGGTGACCCCATGGGGAGAAAGAGCCAGCCCGCGGCTAAGGAGTGTGAGGGGTCAGCGGTGAGAGGAGGCTGGCCCGGCTGGCTACCGGGACCCGGCGGAGGTGGCCCCGGGGACTGGTGAAAACCCCGCTGTCGGCGCTAGGACCCTGCGGTCATGACGAGAGACCATATTTACACCCCCCCTCCGACCGTCATCTAATTTGCATAACCACGCCTATAGTTTCCATGTGTGGTTGCCCTCGCCCCGCCCCGCTCTCCTATTGGTGGCCGATCACCCCTCGCTCCGCCCCTCGCTATAAGAGCGGCCGACGGGAGGGGCGGCAGCGCAGAGCGCTCGGCGGGACGGGGCGGGCGGTGGCGGGAGGCTCGGACCCGCCATGAGCAGCAGCGCGGTCCCCGCGGCGCGGCTCTGCCGCCTGGAGCGGGGGCCGGACGGGTACGGCTTCCACCTGCACGGCGAGAAGGGCAAGCCGGGCCAGTTCATCCGGCTGGTGGAGCCGGGCTCACCGGCCGAGCGCTCGGGGCTGCGCGCCGGGGACCGGCTGCTGGAGGTGGATGGCGAGAACGTGGAACGGGAGAGCCATCAGCAGGTGGTGGAGCGCATCCGCGCCGCCGCCGGTGCCGTCAGCCTGCTCGTCGTGGACTCGGTGGCCGACGAGCAGAAGCACGGCGGGGCGGTCACCGAGCCCTCCGTGGGCGCCGGGCAGGCGGCCCCGGAGCCGGCGGAGCCCGCGGCGAGGGAGCCCAGCGGCGGGCAGCGGGTAAACGGGGGATCGGGGGCAGAGCGCTGCGAAGTTTGGGGGAGATGCGGGTGATGTCCGGGGGAGGGGGTCGGGACCGGCCCCCGTTGTCGCCTCGCAGCCGAACGAGCAGGCTTGGCAGCCGCCGTGTCGGCGCCGGCCTCCCCCGGGCGCCCGGCGTGGTTTCGCACTCGGTTCTTTCTTTTTCGCTTTACTTGAAGCGCGGCTCCCCGGGAGCGCCCCGCCCCGGCTCCTTCGGTTTATTGATGCAGTTCCTATGTTAATGCTCTTTAACAGCCGCGCTGGGTGGCGAGCGGGGGCAGACCCGTAACCGAGCAGCCCGTCGTGTCCCGGAGCTCTCGGGCCCGTCTTTGTGCTGCAGGGCCGGTAAAACCAGGGGGGGGAAAGCAACAGGGAGCCAGGACAGTGGCGGGTGAGCCCCAGCCCAGGGCTGGGTTAAGGGTGTCTGGGTTTAACCCACTCCAAAATACAATAGCAAAAGCTGTACAGGGTATCTGGGGGGGCTGTGGCTGTCTGTAGGTGTTGGTGGCATCACTCATGCCCTGAGTGTAACCAGTCTCTGCTATGGAGTAGAGATGGCAGAGCCTTTTCCAAGTCTGAAGGGGCTGATCCTGTCGTTGGTCCCCATGTACAGACACCTACTAACGTAGGAATGTTGGCTGTAAGGGGTACGTGGGAGTAGCGGTGGCATAAGTAAAGTGATGCAGAAAGGTGAGGAATTGAGAAATAGCTGACCTTTCCTGCCCGGAGCCGTTCCTAAGAGACGCGCTGGGCTGCTGCAGACAACACTGCTTTCTGTTTACCCAGCAAAAACATAACGTTTGTTGTTGCAACGGAGACATGGATGGGCTTCCCAGGAAGCAAGCTCCTGCTGTCCCTGGAGCTTGAGGGACATTAAGGGGTGCTCCTGTGATGTGTTACCAAGCATGTTCTGTGAAGGGTTGGTGCTGTGGGGCCTTTCCAGTGCCGGTGTTGAGCTCCAGGCAGACTTTGGTGCCTCCTGAGCTGGTATCACGCAGGGTTTTGCTGAGAATCAGGTGATTTTTATTAGTTGTCTCCTGTTAGACTTTAGCCTCTTGCCAGCTGCCCATTGCCCCTGATTGGGCTGATCCACTGCAGGGCACCGGTCTCACCCCTGCCTGGCTAAAGCATTGCCCCAGCATCTCCTTGAGGGCCTTGTTAAAGTGGGATCAACCAGGTTCTGTCACTGTCACCGCCCTGCTTGCTCCCTGTCCCCCTGGTCCCTCAGGTCTGGCTCCATACAGGGCTCTGCAGTGTTGCCCCACGCAGGAGGAGCGTGCCTGCTGTCCTGTATCACAGTGCCAGCGCTCCCTCGGGGCTGGTGACACCGTCTGTGCTGTGCTTTCTGCTCCCAGATCTCTCCATGGGCTGGGAAAAGTAAAAGGGATGCAGTTAAAGCAGCTTGGGCTTGGGGGGCTGAGAATGTTTAGCTCGCAAGGGAGACAAAGCCCTGACATGCTGCATGGTGGCTGCCTGCTCGCAGAGGCTGTGCTGGGGCAATGCCAAGGGCATGGGAAGCCCTTTGAGGAAGTTTTGAGGGGGGAGCCCCAGCTGTGGATGCCCCACAAGCTCAGGTGACAGGCTTAGGGCAGTTACTGCAGTGGTTTCCCTCGGCTTGGGAGCAGGAAGTGGGTGCCGTGGGGTGCCATTGCCACACAGCCCCGGATGGTTTCTTAACAGGTATCAGGAAATCTTGTGGCCGGGGCAGGGGTGTAAAAGCGAGCAGGTTTGGAGGCATCGCCCCGGCAGGGTGGGAAGATGCCAGGCGGGATGGCGAGCCAAGCTGGAGCGGGCAGAAAGGGATTTCTCTATGGTGAGCAGGGAACACACTGGTGTGCCTGTTCTCCGGCCACTGGCAGGCACCCGGTGCCTGCAGCCCCCATGAGCCCCAGCCCATTGGGTTAGTGGGATTCCCCTGGGATCGCCGTGGTGGGGAGCGGTAGTTCTGCCTGTGTCAGAGTTCTGTTTGCTTTATTGGGCTGGACTTGCCTTTATTTACTTAAGGAGCTTGGAGACACCGGGTGCTGGGAGAGCAGCAGCAGCACCCGCACCCAGGGCTGTGTGAGGAGTGAACACATCCCACCTCCAGGCAGGATCCATCTGCTCTCCAAACCCTCCTGGGTCCTGCATAGTTGGATCCCCCCTGGTGCGGGGGGCTTGGAGACCCCCATGGGTCCCATTGCTGAGCAGGTTTTGGGGCATCCCTCCCCATTCCTATGGGTTTGCAGGTTCCCTGGTGCCGGGTGGAGGTGTTAAGCGCCCCTTCCACCCCTCCTGCAGCGCTGAGCCGGTGAGGTGATGCTTCCACAGCCCCCAAGGCCAGCCTCGCAGCACAGGGACTGTCCCCAGCGCCCCGTGACGGCTCCTCCTCCCCTTGCCTGTGTTTCCGGAGCCTTCAACTGCTCACCACGAGTGTCTTGAGACAGCTTCATGCAAACCACAGGGTGTTATCAGAGCACCGGCTGGGGCTGTGCTTACCAGGGCAAGGCTTTAGCTACCAGCCCCAGGGTTCCCTATAGCAAATCCAGTGCTAAACCAGAGCCCTCTCTTCCAGCAATGCTCATCCATCCTTGTAAAACCCTCCCAGGGTTGGGTTTTGGAGTATAACAAGAAGCAGATTCCCCCCCCCCCCCAACACTTCCATTTGGGAGCGTTGCACTGGGAATAGCCGGTGTCTAATTAGGAAATGAATTAAATTTCCTCTCGAGGCAGCTGCATGAAAAGCAGCTCCAGTCGAACGGGACGTGACGAGGATGCTGCGAGGAGGCTGCTTTGCATCCCCTTTGTATGAAGCCCGAATGCGCGCGCCAGATTTCGGGACCCGTGTGAATTTGCTGGCCCAGGCATCCTTGGAGCTGTTGTGTTTCTCTTTGGGAACGCTGCTGCTGACGGGCTTGTTGCTGCTTGTAGGACTGCAGGGAGTTTCCTGCCGCTTGGGCTTTCAAAAGCTGCCCTGAAGTTGTTGTTGTGGGGCTGGGAGATGGGGAGCCAGGTCCTGGCACACACACACACACAGGGGCTCCCCAAGTCCCTCAGTGGACAAAGGTGATGGGGAGGGATGGTCTGACATGCTCCTGGAGGGAGAAGTACCCAGGTCCTGTTCTATGGCAGGATGTGATGCTGCTGAGTTCCCCATTCCACATGGACACCTCTATGGGCAGATGTCCCTCTGCCACCCGTGGTGCACATGAAGGAGTGGCACAGGATGTCCGTGCTGGGGGCTGAGTCCGGCACCCCCCCGCTACCCTCCCCACCGGAGGTTGTAATTGCTTGTAACAGGCTCTGCTGGCTAATCCGTGCCCCAGCACCACGCACTGCTGGTGATGGAGGAGAGGATGCAAAAGCTTATAGAAATTAGGGGCATTTCCGTTTTCCTGCTGTTCAGCTCCCAGCCCCACAGCTTTTTGCATGTCCCTTGGGACCCCCCTGGCCAGGGAGACCTTGGGGCTGAAGGGATGCGGATGCCCTACCGCAGGGTGTTTTTCCCGTGGAAGATTGGGTGCATTTATAGTTTTCCATCAGGAATGGTGGCTGTCACAGGGTTTCTGCTGGTACAAGGGGTTTGGGAAGGGTGAGGGCAGCCTGGCACGCTGTGCTGGAGGAGCTGCCAGCCCCTGGCAAGGGGATGCTGTGGGGGCCGGGTCATGGCGCGGCCGGGCAGTCCCTGGCACCGAAGTGCTTCTGTCTTCACCAGTGGCCTTTGAGGGCTTGATCTTCCCTCTCTGCTGTGACCCCCTGTCCATCCATCCTGCAGGGATCCCCCCCAGATGCATGGCTCCAGTGTCTCGGGGAGCCCGGGCTGCTAGGGCTTTGTTGGTGTGGATGGGAGCGAAGTCCTCCCTCCTCCTCCTCCTCTCCCGGGAGCGGTGCCAGCGCTGCTTGCCGGGTGCTCCCTCTGTCTTTGTCCCGAGCTATCAGCATGGAGCAGCCCCGTGGTGCTGCCAAGGGCACCGGGAGCAGGGGTGCTCACAGAGCCTGAGCCCCCTTCCTCCAGGCTCCTGCTTTTCGGCCTTGATTTGGGTTTTCCCTGTCCCTCACTAGGGATCACTGCCTGGGTGGATGGAGGGTGCAGTCATAGCAGCCTGGATGGGGTTTTGTCATGGCACCGGGCATAGTGATTGCAAATGCATCACCCTGGACCATGTGGGAGCCTGTGCAACTGTAGTGCTGCCAGATGTGGGGTGCCAGCACCCCAAGGACCAGGTTTTCCATCAGGGAGCAAAGGGGATTTCATGGCAAGAAGCGAGAATCCTGTACAGGGAGTAAAGAGCAGCACAGGATGGGTATGGCAGGGGGAATTCATGCAGTGCGTGTCCCCAACGATGCTATGGGTACCAAAGGAGAAAAACCATCTCAGAAGAAAGAATAAGCATTCACCATCCCTCCATGGTGAGGAGCATTTCAGGCTTGGCTGCTGGGAGAGCCGTAACAAAGCCCTGGAGGTGGTGGCCAAGGCAGGATCAAACCATATTGTATATAATTATGTAGAAGTGGTGCTTGGGTGCTGGTGTTTGTGTTGCCTGGTTCCTCTGATGCTTCCTTGCATCCTGCTCCCGGATGGGTGAAGGCAGCTTCTGGGGATGCTCCTGTTTCTCCCCTCTACTCACAGTGTGGAGAACTGTGCTCATGGGGAGCTGGTGCAGGGCTGTGGCTGCCCCAGTTCGGTTCCCTGGCTCTGGGTGCTGGTGGATCCACAGGTCAGGGTGAAACCGGGTGCAGATGAGCTGGGTGTTGTCTCCTGGGGAGGTGATTGTCCCGTCCTGATGGCCCAGATTGTCCCAGGTGATTGCTGCCCCGGTTGAGCTGGTTTCTCTGTTTTGCAATCCCAAAGGGTCCTGCTGGGACTTTGAGGTGCATCAGCATCAGGGCTGCTCTGCCTGCATCCCAGCTGCCTGTCCAAGCCCCAGCTGCCCCTTCCCATGGCTGCGGGGTGGTCTGGGGTGGTCCCATGGTTGGGTTTGCATCTTGCCAATGGGGTTATGGGGAGGACCTGCATTGGTGGCTGAGACTTCTCCTATAGCAAAAGCTTTCTAGGTAGGGTGGGTGGAGGATGCTCCCCAGCAGCCTGGCCTGTGTTTCCTCTTCCTCCTTCATGTGGTGATTGCAATCCTGATCCCAAAAGGAGGAGTGTAGTCTGGGAACACTCATCATAACATATTTGTTTAACGTTTCACTGCAATTAGTGTGCCCTGCACGTAACTAAGTAAGTAGAGCTTGGGTTCATAGGGTGTTTTGGCACCCTGTGTCCCACCTTGAGGTGTCTGCGGGTGCAGGTAGCCACAAGGATGTCACCCAAGCGGATACCTGATGGCCCTCGAGTGCTGAGGAGGGGGTCTGGGAGCAGCTTTCCCACAGGCTCATGTCATTGCAGGAGGAGCTGCGGCCCCGGCTGTGCCACATGAAGAAGGGTCCCAATGGCTACGGCTTCAACCTGCACAGCGACAAGACCCGCCCGGGGCAGTACATCCGCGCTGTGGACCCCGACTCGCCAGCCGAGGCGGCAGGGCTGGCCCCCCAGGACCGCATCATCGAGGTACAGTGGTGTTGGGGGGGGGATGCTTCCTGGCATCCCTGTGCCGGGAGGTGACCCCGGTGACTCACGGCACAGCCGGTCCCCACCCAGGGGTGCAGCGCTGCAGAGGGCTGGGGCTGAGCGCTCATTATCCAGCCTGCCCGGAGCGTGAGCACCCCATGGGTGTCCCTGGGGTGGGGCAGGCTGAGGACAAGGTGTACGATGGCCCCGAGCGCTGCCACTGGCCGTGACCGGCATGGGGATGGGACCCACAAGGGCAAGAACCAGCCCTGCTGCTCTCCAGGGTGTGGGGCTGCTGCCTCTCTTGGCACAAAGCTTTAGGCCCCCCTGCACTGGGGCCTGTGCACAAGGGGTTTGTGCCTTGCTCGTGCTGCCCATCTCCTGCACCAGCCCCAGGTCCATGCCCTGCCAGGCTGCTCCCTGCCTGCGTGATCCCATGCTAATCACTCAGAGGAAAATCTGCTTTTAATGAGGTTTTGCTGCCTTCACCACTAATCCCTGTGAGGCTGCGGGTACCTGTGGGGGCTGTGGGGTGGCTGTGCGGGGGCTGTGACCGGTACCATGACCGGTACCCGTTCTAGAGGGATGGATGTCCTGGGGCTCCAGCAGTGATGCGGTGCTGTGCCCACAGGTGAATGGGGTGTGCATGGAGGGCAAGCAGCACGCTGACGTGGTGGCAGCCATCAAGGCGAGCGGCGATGAGACCAGGCTGCTGGTGGTGGATGTCCTCACCGATGAGTTCTTCAAGAAGTGCAAGGTGGTGCCCTCGGAAGAGCATCTCACAGGTAGGTGGGGGGGTTTGTGCCAGCTCTATGGGCTCTGTGTCACCAAACCTGAGGGTGCTGAGCCCTGGGAGGTGGAGATCTCATCACCCTGGGGACAAGCAGGGTCACCCAGCTCTGGGGAAGGCAGGTTTATGGCCCTGGGTTGCACTTTGGCAGGGTTTATGGCTTGGGGAGCAAACAGGCAGCAGCCGCCCTTCGCTCTCCTCCATAGCCTTGGCCCAGCCGTGGTCCCCTCCCTGTTGTCACAGTGCTACCTGTGAGGACAGTGAGATCTCGCTGGGTTCCCTGTCAGGGCTGTCATTATGGGGATGTGCCTGCTGCCCACCAGCATTCCCATGTGCTGTGGGGCTGCCTGTGATCGTGGGTTAAAAACTCTGTGACCTGGGCAGTGCTGGGTATGAAGCCTTTGCCATACACTGCAGCCCCTGTTGCGAGGGGCAGAGCAAGCTCATCCTCACCCTGCACCCGTGTCCTTGTCCTGCAGGTCCCTTGCCAGAGCCAGTTGTCAATGGCGATGTAGGGAAGGTAAGAACCTCACTTTGCTTTTCAACCCATCTGTGCCAGTCCCCAGGCAGGGACCCTGCCTGGTTAGGTCCCCTCTGCACATGGGTGGGTGATGCCGCCGTGGACTACAGTGCTCCTGGGCTGCCAATGGGAAGGGAGCGGGTGCCCTCCAGAAAGGGGATTGCTTGTGGTGCTGTATGTCATGGAGGGTTCTGCCTTCCTCCTCCATCCTCATGGCACTGCAGGGCTGGGAGCCCTTGTGCTGCTCCAGGGAAGTAGCATCCAGCCCTTCACTGCCCTCCTCCTCCTCCTCCTGCTAAAGCCAGGGCAATCAGGCTGGGGTTTAATCCTTCCCCACCCCGGACGGGCAGCACTGGAGGCATTAGAGCCTGGAGCTCACCGGGGATTATGCATGGGGAGGGCGGATTTCCCAGTCCCCCTGTGTGGAACTCGCTGCTCCAGGGCCCATTCCCAAAGCTGCCCTGCTCACGCTTGCTCCCTGCTCCCTCCCAGGAGAACGGCACAGAGCCGCGGTCCAGCTCCGTGTCCGAGAGCCCGTCCAGCCCCGGGCCGTTGGCCACGTCCCCCAACTCCAGCGATACCCACAGCAAGGTAGGGCTGGGGATGCTGGGGGAGGCTGTGGCTGGGAAGTGGGGTCCAGGCTGTTGTAGGGGGCACAGTGGGGCTGACGCAGCCTCTTGCCCCCCCCCCCCCCCAGTCTGACGCACAGGAGGGTGACAAGCGCCATTCAGCATCCGGCTCCCTCCTGGACCTCGACATCCCACTGGCAGTGGCCAAGGAGCGGGCACACCAGAAGCGCACCAGCAAGCGGGCTCCCCAGATGGACTGGAGCAAGAAAAATGAACTGTTCAGCAACCTGTGAAGGCCCCGGGGAGGGGGTGAGGGTCCTATGGCCCCCCCCGGCCTCACACCCACCTCTCCTGCATCACCTCTCCTGCATCACCTCTCCATGCTCCACGGGGTACAGGGCTGCTTTCCACTACCTTGGCTGGAGCGATGGGGCTCAGTGGCCAATGGGCATCCCGGCAGTGGGGTCCTGATGGGGGTTTTGGGCTAGAGAGAGCCAGGGGGTGCTGGGGGTGCCCCTTCGTGTGAGCCTATCCCTGGGGTGCTCCTCTAACCCTGCTCACCCTGGTAGGCACAAGTGGGGGGAATCAAGGATTTGGGGTGACCTGATACCAAACACTTCCTCCTGTTCCCTCGTTCTTCCCCCATCCCAAACAAAGCCCATCTCCATTTGAGTATATCCATCCCCCCATTTGCCCTTTAGCTGCAAAACCCGAGGCTTTGAGTGACTTTTAGCATCCCCAACCTGCCCAGCCACTGACCCCAGCAGTTCGGCCCCTGCCTTGGTGAGCTCCGTCCATGATAACCATGTCCCTTTGTCCCTCTGGCTGCAGGGAGGGATACGGGTGCCCATCATGGTGGGGACCCCCCAGCACCCTGCCCCTGGGGCTGTTTTTGGGAGAGGAGAGGGTGTCCAGAGCCAGCACAGCAAGCAATAATCACCTCCCTTGCTCCCGCTCACTCCTGGAGACAGAGCTGATCAGGGTTTGAATCCAACACTGTGTAATTTAAAGGCTTCTCAATAGACTCTTGTTTTTTTTTCTCTCCAAAATAAGAGTTTTCCAATCACACTGTTTATTTCTTTTTTTTTTTAATGTATTTTGTGGAAATTCTTCCTGTGGATGTTTTGTTTCCATGTGTTGCGATCGGGCGTTGTTGTACTGTCAAGCTAAAGAGAAATCCTGGTTACTGGAATAAACCTTCCTGACTTCATGCGTCTGGTTTAAAGCTAAATCCTCCTGCAGCCCCAGGCTGTGTGGGGCTCATTGCTGTGCTGCAGGGGCTGGGGAAGAGGCAAGTAATGCTCCCAGGGTGGGGGACACTGAGGCTGGTTTGGGGGCCCCGTAAGTGCCCAGTGTGGGGGTCAGACAAGGACTGGCTGGTTGCAGTGTGGGTTAATGCCTTAGGGTGATTAAAGGGCTCTAATCCCCCACCCTGGAGTGTGTGTGTGTGGGTGATGCAAGGCTCTAATCTGTGTCTGCTGGCCTGGCAGTAATGCTGAGGGCAACCAAATCAGCCCCCAGTGCTCCGGGGGGGATTTGGGGTGAGCCTGAGGCCCCCAGCATCGCACCCTGGGTTGAGGAAGGCAGCTGGGATCAGTGGGGAAGAGAGTGTTTGTCCCAGGTTGCTGGTTCTATCCTGTTTGGGGAGAGGAGCAGAGGAAAGCAGGGCAGAGTGCTGCTTTATCAAGGAGGTGGTGATGGTCCTGTGGCTGGAATGGGCTGGGGGCACCATGGCTGGTGCAGGACAAGGCAGTGTCACTGTGCTCTGAGCAGTGACTGTGGTGTGCTGTGGACCCCCAACATCTTTGCCTTCTTTCCTCTGTCCCTCTTGTTTTGTGCTTCAAACACTCAGAAGAGCTCCTCTACCTGAGCAGACACGTGGTGGCAGAGATCTGCAGCTCAAATGACAACCAAGTGACAAAGTGCCACCGCATCTGTGAGTGATGTGCAGGCTGTTGCTCTCTGGAAGCTGGGGAAGCCCATTTCAACCTGCCTCATCCTCCAAAGCTGTGGGCTCTGTGGCAGTGAGTGGAGGTGAGCCCCTGTTCCCCTCCTTGCTCACCCTCATCCCCCTGGGGACAAGCACAGTGTCCTGCCTGGGTGTCATGGGCAGCAGCTGCCTGTATGGGGCAAGACTGGGGGCACCCAGCAAGTCCCATGAGTATCTTTTACCTCTTCTCTCAGTAGGAGCAGCCTGGGGACCTGGTTGAGCCCCACCAGCCCCCCTCCCCGCCAGCCTGTGTTGGGGACAGACCCAACTTTGTTTGGGGTTGCCAGGAGAAGGCTTTCCCAGAGGCCCACTGAGGCGCCGATGTTGCCGGGGGACCGGGGATGCCAAGCAGGGCACTCACTGGCTCCGGAGCAACCGGCAGGGCACCAGGAGCCATGGCAGGACCAGGGAGGGGAGCACAGCTCCACTGTGCCCCCTTCACCCTGCAGCAGAGGTGGAATGAAATCATTTCCCCACCTTGGTCACTTTTTAGGGGAGCGAATCCCACCCCAGCTCCATCTCCTGCCAGTCCAACCCTGCTCCTTTGGCAGAGGAATGGAACAGAAGGAGCACAGAGGCAGCAGTTCATCAGGCAGGTTCTGCAAACCTTGTTGTGGGCACACAATGCTTTCCTGCCTGCTGCAGGTGACAACAGCATAAGGATTAGTAGCCCTTGTCATGGTAATCCTATCTGGAAGGAGCTCTTCACTTCCTTACACTACAAAGCTTTTGCAACAACTAAATCCACGCTGAATGCTTGTTGTTTAAAAGACCATGATACACTGCTCCCACGCTTGGTTTTAATATTAGTCACAGGAAAGATGTGTTTAACTAAAATTGGAGAACTAAATCCCCCAGGCCCTAAAAATACAGGCACAGCAACACTAAAAATTCCAGTCTGATAAAAACATCCCTGGGCGAATCTGGAAGCTATTACCTGATACTGTGTAATTGGAACACATAATTTCGGGCCTAGAATTAGCCATTACGGCTGCTATTCCAGTGGGAAAACACACATGAGCGTCAGTTATCCTCCTTTCCTTCTATCCTCTTGCTCTTAGCAAGCTCCCCTGCAGTGGAGGACACGCTGTGCAGGGTAGGAAGGGTCAGGCTAAATAACTGCATTAAAAGCTCTGTCCAGGGGGAGTCAGGCAAGTGCCTCCTCTTCAGCCACGGACCTCAGCTACACCACAGCGGAGGCTGGCGAACGGCTTGAAACAGATCTGAACCCAGCAAGTGATATTTCCATCCCCATTCATCTTACTGGAGAGCAGCAAACGGAGACTTCAGGCTCAGCAGAGCAAGTCCTGAGGTCCTTGAAGAAGGGATCACTATTCTATCTCCTTTCAGGTGTGTTCTCCCTGCTCTCATAAAAGCAGCCTGGTCAAACAGTGCAGTATCTCTTTGCTGGTGGCCTCCTGCTCCCAGGTCCTGTAGCTGCCAGTCCCCCTGTTTGCAGGGATTGATCCTGGCAGGGCTCTGCTCTAGTCTCGGCTGATAGCAATAGTTTTCATCACATACAACACGTGGGCTTCTCACTTCCAGGACCCCACAGTGCCCCCCTGCACCCCAGAAAATAGGGTTCAAAGAGTCTGTGCTGTCCTTTACAGCAGCCAAAGTGAGCAGCCCAGCCCCACTGCCTCTCAGATCTTTGTCATCTCTTTAATGCAAGAGAAAACTGATTGAGCTTGCCTGTGTCTAACCAGCAAATCCTGCTCCAAGGGCAGTGGAAAAGGCACAGCAGGTGCTGCTTGCCCACAAACTGGTGGCACCAGAAATCAATTGACTGCTGGTGATTTGAGGCTCTGCTGGAACAGTATGCTGAAGTTAGAGTCATTCCTAGTCAAGCCTGTGAATTAGTGGCTGTTCTCCAGGTCCCGATCTCAGGCAGTAATCCCAGCTGGTTCAGCAAGGTGCAAAGTTGACAAGATGACAAAGTAACCAAAGAGACACGAAAACAGTCAAACTCAGCACTGGCTCACTGCTGTCCTCCACACCCAGAGCTCACAACAGCGTCCAGCTCCTCCCTGGAAACAAGGCCAGGGTCTGGATGTGTCCATCAGGTCTCCAGCACCTCAGCTGGCAGCTTGTTCAACGTAGCTCCTCTCCTCCACATGGTTTGTCTGTTCCAGGAGCCAACGTCTTTCCTGGTCACTGACATCCAGCCTCAGTGTCACCTCCTGGAAAACGCTGTTCACAGCAACCTGTATCACATAGAGGGAGAGCAGCTCAATCCCAGCCTCAGAGCTAACTCTGCTCACCTTCTCTGGGTAGAAGAGGGGCTCTTACCTCTTTAAAATGAAGTTTTTTGAACATGCAGATGCTGGCTTCGTTCTCCTGACCAATCTTAGCCTCAAATGTGGTGATCCCCAGGTTTCTCACACCTGCAAGAGAAATCAGACAAGTATTTCTGTTACCTGCTTGGCTGCAACATCTATGAGAGCACACAACTCCCAATTCCTGGGGCAGAGGCAGCCTGTGTCACAGGGAATGTGTCCTTCTAGATCACATCCCAACTGTACTCCCATTGCCATGCACTGAGCCACCCTTACCATAGGACATCATCATCAGAGTTGCCTCCTTGCCAAATCCTCTGCCTCGGTAGCTGGGCTCTGAAAGAGACAGCCACAGAAGTCAGCATCCACTTGGGTGAGACAAATCAGCCATGCCACACTGTAGAAGAGACTATGGCCTGGGACCAGCAAAAGATGCTGCTCAGGAGTGAACAGCCACAGTAATGCAATGAGACCAAAAAGCGTCTGTACACAACCTCTGTCTGAAGCTGGCTTCAACCACAGCAACAAAGGTCCAAGCTATGAAGCACAACTTGACCTGCAATCATAATTTCAATCTCAGCCAAAGTTGGATCCTCAGGGTCAGTGAGGAAGAGATTCACGTCCCCCACCATGCAGTCCTCATCCGCCTGCCCGGGCCACCGCTCTGTGTCCAGCACAATGAAGGTACACTCTGGGAAAAACAAAACCATAGCAGAGTTTACAGGGCACAAATTATTGCAGGGTGAAATTAAAGGCATGCAATGGACAGAGGAACATGTGTTAACAATGAGGAAGAGCTTATAATTGAGCTTCCCATACCAGCGTGCTTGCTCCCATCCATCAAGATGTACAAAACGTTTTGAAGACCCCTTGTGAGGGTGGTACAGGCACCAAGATTAGAAACAGCCTATTTAAAGAGCATGGAAACTTCCAGCCTGAGGTCTCCATGCCTTGTCTCACTCAGCAGCAAGTTCAGGCAAAGAACTGTTTGGCTCACAAGAGGCTGAGACCTAGTGATTCATTTAGTCTGTATTATTGCTACTTTAAGTATGGCTTCTAATGCCAGCTAAGACAAATGCTCCACACTGAGGTCTTTGTCAGCCTCACTATTTTCTGGCTCGCTATATTTTTACCAGGCTTTTATGGGCAGTGATTCATTACTTGTAGGAGAGCCAGGGAACCAATTCCAGCACACCTCAACTGGGTAATTCTAGAGCAGTTCAATTTCTCAAGGAAAAGTATAACTCCTTTCTACCTTCTTAGGATGATCAGACCTGGGGAGCTTTGACTGTGCAGGAGCAGCTCAGCACATAAAGCTGGGGGAAATAAATCACTGTAATCTTTAAAAAACTGCATAAAAAGGACATCAGCAGCCCCAGACATTCTCTACTTCCCTGAGCATAGCTATAAACAAAAAAGCAGTTCAAAGCAGGTAGAACCCACTCACTGGGTGCTCTCAGCCCACTGTGGGTCCTTCATAGGACAGAAGGGACCTGCTCTCTCCTCCCACCCCCCCTTCAGAAGTGTTTTAAGGTCCTCACTGTCTGTGTCGTCCCTCCAGCTGCACTGCATCTCATACTCCTGCTCCAGGCTGAGGGGCTCGGAGGCTGTCAGGCGCTGCAGCTCCTCTGACTGCATCCACTCGTGGTACCTGGCAATGGGACCCAAAACCACATCATTGCCTGAGCTACTGCATCACAGTCTGATTTCCATGAGCGCTCTGAGGATCAGACTGTCATAAGCTGGTTCTGGAAACACCAGCCTGGCATTTATGGCAACTTAAAAAGCATCCACAAGCCTCTCTCCCTTATCTAACACAGGACTTGGTGTTCTCTGTGGAAATGCAGCAAGTTTGGCCATCCTGTGGCTTTGTCTGAAGAGTGACTGATGTCTTTAAAAGTACTGAGCACTGAGTTCCGGTGCATTTCATCCCGACTGAGATTGATAGAGCATCTCCTGGCCACTGACAAAAAGACTAATACTGGCATCTTTGTGCTGAGGCTGCAGCTGCCTGGGTCAGCACTGTACAAATTGCCTTCATGCCTGCTCCTAATTTATCAAACATCCATCTGGCTTTACACATTGAAGGTTTGCTCTTCCACTGTCATTAGGGAAAGACATCAAGAGAACTGTTGGTGGCTCACTCACAGCCAGGTTCTTCCCTTTCCATGGGCACACACATGAAGTCCTCTTTGTCAGCAGACCTGGCAAAGAGCACAGACCTGTCAGGGATGCTGCTGCCAGGCATGAAGGGCAGAACTGATAGCTTTTCTGAGTAGTCCTTCTGCTGTGTGTTTCCCAGGGGGGAAAAGAGCCCTGCAGCAGCCGAGCCAGAACCTCTTCTGACCACCACGTGCCCTTTAAACAGAGAAATGAGATCAGACCATGCAACAGCATCAGAGGAGGACACGAGCCACGTACCGGGGCACATGCGCAGACGTGTAGGGCACCAGGGTTGCCCTCTTTCCTCGCAGCACCGTGTTCTGGTTAATCTTCATGGCCTCTGCAGTCAGCACCCACTCTGTGTCTCCAGCAAGGCCAAGGGATGGCTCAGGAGTCCCTGGAGCCCTTCGGGATGCAGCAGCGGTCACTTTCCCTGTGTGCAGCTCACACCGATGCCCTCACACAGGGACCAACAGCATCCCCCTGCTCCCCCCACTCAGGGCAGGGCTCCATCGGTGCCCTCGGAAGGGTGCTGGTGGCCGGGGTCTGCCCTGACGAGGGCCACTTAACGCTTCGTATTTAACACAGCACTTCAGCAGGGGGCTGGCGGGAGATGGGGCTGAGGAGGGATCGGGGCTGGGGGGGATCGGGGCTGAGGGGAGATCGGGGCTGAGGGGAGATCGGGGCTGAGGGAGATAGGGGCTGGGGGGGGATCGGGGCTGGGGGGACATCGGGGCTGAGGGGAGATCGAGGCTAAGGGGAGGTCGGGGCTGAGAGGGATCGGGGCTGAGGGGAGATCAGGGCTGAGAGGGATCGGGGCTAAAGGGACATCGGGGCTGAGGGGAGATGGGGACTGAGGGGACATTGGGGCTGAGGGGAGATCGGGGCTGAGAGGGGTCGGGGCTGAAGGGAGTTCGGGGCTGAGGGGACACCGGGGCTGAGGGGAGATCAGGGCTGAGAGGGATCGGGGCTGAGGGGAAATCAGGGCTGAGAGGGATCGGGGCTAAAGGGACATCGGGGCTGAGGGGGGATCGGGGCTAAGGGGACACCGGGGCTGAAGAGGATCGAGGCTGAGGGGGAGCAGAGCCCGCCGTTGAGGCCCCGGCCGCGGAGGCCCCCGCCGCGGAGGCCATGTCTACCTGGCCCCGTCGCCCTTCCGCAAGCGCAGAACCCGAGCAGCGCCGTCATCACGGCCCCGCCCCTCAGACGGTCACGTGTGCGGAAGGTTCCCCCTCCACACCCCACACCCCCCTTCCGTGCTGGGCGCATGCTCCGTGGGCGCCCCGCGATGTGGAGCCGGGGGTCGCGGTGTGAGGTGAGGGATGCGGCGGGGCATGGTGAGGGCCCGGCCGGGGCGAGGGTCCCGGTGTGGACCGGAGCGATGGGAGGCGTCTGGGTGTTGTATGAGGGTCTATGGGAGCTTCCCCGGTGGAGGGTGGGCGGCATTGCCGGGTGGGGGGGAAGCGTCCGGGCTGGGGTCTCTGGAGGCCTTGGCAGGGGCCCTCCGGGCTGGGGTGGGTGCCCGGTAGGAGCGCGCTCATCCCGGAGGTGGGTGCTGGCGTGGCCGTGGTCCCTCTGCCTTGTCGCGGGTTGCTGAGCTCGGCTTCGGGGGCTTGAGTGCGGGTTTGGGGTAGATGAAGGTGTTTGGCCTCTCCTCCCGAGGGCCGGCCGAGTTGTGACCGCTGGGAGCAGTGATGCTGATGGGCTGCTGTCAGCTGGGGGTGTATTTATACATGGGCCCATGTTTATACAGCTTACGGGCTATTTGGTCCCTTTAGCTTGTGAAGCTGTGCGGATGATTTGCCCCAGTTGGCGTAACAGGGTAGAAACTTATGTAGAAGTATAAGGAGTTTGATAAAACTCTTAAACAATTCAACTGTGGCTAATTATTGACCCTGAAGCCTTTCAGAAGGCTTGGGGCCTCACTTCCTCTTGTAGTTTTATTAACACAATGCGAAGTTCCTTAAGTACTTCTGTTCTGGAAACCTTGGTGTGTGCAACAAAACATCTTGGGGTGTTTTTCATAGGTCTATGTATTTTTCTCCTTGAGATTATAAAGGAGACTGTGGGCTGGTTTTCCTGCTTTGATTTGCAGGAGACACCTGCTGTTATGAGTAGTAGCTGCATGAGAAGGAGTGGTGTGAGCTCATCCTCAAGGCAGGCATTCTTCCTCTTGAGGTTTTAGTGTCTGAAACGGCCCCTCTGGCTGTTTGGGGAAGGAAAAGTTTGGTCATCACATGCTGTGGAAGGGCAGGGCTTTTTGGTCCCTTTTAAACCAGTTTAACGGGTAGGAGAGGTTTTTGTGCTGACCCAAATGGTGCTGGTGAGTGGGCTGTATCCAGAGCACAAAGTCCTGCTGAGGCCCTTTTTTGTTCAAACATCACAAGATTATTGGGCAAAAGCTGACTTGCGAGTTCTTCCCGTGACAAAGCTAACACAACTTCATGATGTTTCCTAAGGTTAAAGGCAAGAGAAGTTGAAAGCACCCTCCTGAAAACACCCTCCTCACTCTGCTCCAAGCCTCTCCACCACATTCAGCATGGCTGGCGGCATCACCGATACAGGAGAGCTTTACTCTCCCTATGTAAGTATGGCTCATTGTGGGTTTGCTCACGAGTGTTTTCCAGATCCTCTTCTCTCAGCATTGTGTTTTCGTTTCCTACCTCCCCGTGGACATAACTTCAGTGTTTCAGGAGATGGTGGAGGCTAAAGGGTCATTAAAAATGCTTATAGGTCACCCTTTATATAAGGGGATAATGTCTGCTTAAGGTATAGTTTTAAAAGTCTTTAAAAGAGTGTCATATCCCATACTAGCTCTTGCATCCTTCCATTATGTTTTCTCTAGCCCAAATTGTGCCGTGAAGCTAGCACAAACATGGGGGTGTGTGAGGCACTGAAACTATCCCGCTTTGCTGCTGCTTTCTTTTTGCTTTAAGAAACCCAGGGGAAAACATTATGTAAAGTTTACTTATTTTTAGCTGTTGTACTAATTACTTTTAAACCACTTCACTTGAAATGAGTAATCGGGATGTTTCTTCCTTGTATATGTGGTGTTCTGTGAAATTGCAGAGCCAATTAGTGCTTTCCTATGTTACTGGAAATACTGGTTTTCATAGCCACAAGTATTCATATAGTGTCAGCTCCTAAAAACAGTGCTTGGCAAACTCTCTTTGTTTTTCTTTCTAAAGTGAATTCACTAAATGCAGAACCAGTCCTGAAACCTGTGTGTTGGTTTTCAAATGCTTTAAAACTTTCATCCCTATGTTAATGATTGAATTTAGCAGAACTGGATATTAGGCTGCAGAAATAGGTCACAACTGAGAAGATGGAGAACAAGACAATAACTGGGGCGCCCAGACCCTAAAGGATTAGTGTCACCTGCTCTTATGTTGTTATGTTAGTGCTGCATGAATTTCCTAGTGCCTCATCTCAAAGGCTGTGACTCTCATCTTTCCCTGAAGGTGTTTAGCCAGATTGAACATGGGCACCACTCTGATCTCTGTCAAGTTGACCAAAGTTAAGGAGAATCACCTGAGGTGCTTTTACAGGAGTCCTTCACTGCAGAGTGTATTGTGGCCCTGAGCACTTGAGGAATGACAGCTCTGCCAGCTGAATGGAAAGAGCTTTCCTGCAAGCTGCAATAGCTGACTCTTGTCATTCTGGGGGACTGGTCAGAAGATGAATTTGCTGTGTTTATGTTGGGGAATGAAGGGCAGGAGTGTTCACGGGGGACTAGTTCTCTTGATATTACTTGTTCCACAGCTAGAAAAGTGTTCTCTGACACAGTTCTTTACTGGCTGGCCCCTGGAGAGACTCTGACCTATACATTTAAGTATGAAAACCAAACAAACCAACTTTGAGGCAATTTTTGACCCTGAGTTCAACTGAATTTATAGTCCAGGGGGTCCTGTCTAGGTGCACAATTCTCTTTTGCCCTTAGGCAGAAAAAAGCTCATTGGCAAAGAGGAGAAAATCCTTTCCCTTCAGAAGTAAAATCTCTTCTTCAGAGTGTTTTAAAGTAACGAGCAGGCTTTGCATTAGAGTTGTGTTTGGATGTTTTATGCTTGACTAAATAAAGAGGAACAAGAGATTCTGAAAGGTAACTTATGTATGAACCTAACTACTTAGGTTTAGGTCAGAAAATCAGGACACACCCCAACCCGTAGTGTAGACTCTTCTGACAGAAGGCAGTGGATTTGAAAACAAAGAAACAGTTCACATCCTTTCTAACTTTAAAAGCTAGAAAGGAAAACATTAAAAATAATTAGAAAGATGGATATGAATATCAGTTTCTCCAGAAACGTGCTGACACTCACTTTGGTTATCAGTCCCCTCTTACCTATATTTGTAGCATGGGCTTGCTCCCACCCTGCTTGCTCAAAGATTGCTCTCCATTTAAATCAGTACATGTGTGAGGTGTCTGGGATGATCTCTGGCATGGCTGCCAGCTCTCATGTTGGATTATGTGATTGATTTCAGGTTGGTCTTGTTTACATGTTCAACCTCATCGTTGGAACAGGAGCCCTGACCATGCCAAAGGCCTTTGCGACAGCAGGGTGGCTCGTCAGCCTTGTCCTCCTCATGTTCCTGGGATTTATGAGGTGGGATGTGAGTACGTGGCCTTGGAGGGTTGGGAGGTTAAGTTGGGTGTAGTTGTAAGGGCAGTGGTAAGGCTTCTGGTGCTTTGCTAAGTGGGCCTGTACCTCTGGTGCTTGAGCATTGCAATTGGCAGCTGTGTTGCCTGTGGACCTTGTTTGGAGGGATGCTGCAATATGGTGGTGCTACATCCCACTTCCTGACTGATGGAAAAGGCTTTTCCTCCAGTCCAGAGTCTGCTTTCTCCCAGCTTCCCTTTTGACACTGTCCTCACTGTGGATACATCCTGCTCCTGCCTCTGTCTTGGATCAGTTCCCCAAGCACTGACCAGGTCACAGATGACGAAGGGTCGTTGCTGTGCTTTGTGACTTGCAGGTATGATGCAGACCTGTTGTGTTAGCTTTCTCTTGGCTTCTGGCAATGCTCTGGGCAACTGCAAGAGTGTCAGGGAAACAAATTACTCTATAGCTGGGCCTGTCTTATCCCCCTCCAGACCTTTCCCGCTTGAGACATTGGAGCTAGTCTCATGATTTTCATGCTGGCTTGCCATGAGGTTCTGCCCAGATGTCTCCCTGCTGGAGCAGCAGGTGGAGCTGGAGGCTGTTGATACAGCACGAATGTCTAAGTAGTTATTAATAGAATTGCTATATTCTAACGGGCTGTGAATCCCTGCTTGGTTTTAAAGCAAAATAAACCAAAATCCCCTCCTGGTGTTTGTACAGATGGAATTTAGAACTTCCTTTCTTGTCAGTAACCAGCTTTAATTTGGAGGCAGTGCTTTTTGGATCTGATAGGTGCTGCTATATAGAGGTACTCTATGGTCAGTATTGATTGTAGTAATGCTTGTAACTTCCCCACCTCAAAGCT